GGGCCTTCGCCCCTGCGGCGCCTCGGGAACCACGCAGCTTCTGGGGACGAACTCTAGGGGTGTGTCCGGTAATCCACCCAATGACGATGGCTCCTTGAAATGATTTTCGTAATATGCACCGCGAAGCTGCATGGACCTTAATTAATGTTAGCTAACTTAACTGTAATTGGTCTACCCCTTTTCAGGTTTCTAAACGGGATATCTCTTAGAAGACTTGTGCCCTAAAAATTATTTCCGTAAATAATTTCGAGCTATTTTGTTGTTTTTAAATTCTAGGATACAATACCTGTTTCTTTTCTAAATGGACCTCTCTCATGTAAAAAAAATTTTAAAAGCTGTTCAAAAGTCTTCACATTTAGTAGTTTTTAGCATTATTTTCCATGCTGGTATACCTTCAGAAAATTTTACACCCCACAGAGCCTTAGAATAACTATAATAATTCATTACAACGACCCGATCAATTAGAAACCATAATCGTCCCCCCCACTGTATAGATGAGAAAACTGTGGCACATAGAACTTAAGTAGCAAGTTCCATATAAATCAGCAAGTAAGTGATGGAGCCTGGATTTTAAATCAAGCATTTTGGCCTTCTAGTCTCTTTTTTATGTTACGCAGATCATAGGAAGCCACTAGTCATTTATCAGCAAGGTGATGAACGTAACATACAGGTGTTGAATGTAGCATTTATGGACATTTAAACCTAGTGACGGTGCTTTGAAGGTTTAAATGCAAGAGATCAATAATAGTTTGTGAAAAGGTAGAAACATTAGAATTATCATCTCTTTTATGAGCCTTCCTCTAATTCCAAGTGAAGTTGATTAAATCTTTGCCAACACTGCTCTCTCTTCGCATTTTTTACACTAGATTTTAATGGCCATATTATTTGCATTTATTTCCTCCAAAAGTCTATCAGGATGTGGATTTTCTCATAAATTTTCCTAAATTCATTATTTAGCTCTGGCACAGTACTGAGTGTACAAAATGTGCAGAGTATAACGCATATGTAACGTGTAAATAAATGTATAAACAAGTGAAAGAATAAACAAATGAATGTGGAAAGGATATTTATTTATTTATTTAAAGGATAAAGAAAAATATTCAAGTTGAAGATTGCTTGGGAATTGCAAACGTCTCGTATTTAATCTTTGGTCACATTTCTTTGATCACTGTCCCTCCTAAACATTTATAACATCTTCATTTACTTTGTATACTGATACTGAACACCTCGGTATATAGTCCATTGTAGATGGAGATTAGTAATGCCACTAGATGTCGCTAGCATATTTTTGTTTTGTAACAGGTATATGTGTATATACATGGCTATAGTAAACTGATTTTATAGAAGGTTGCAATAAAATTATATAATTTCAGTGAAAGAAATGGTATCCGATATCATCTAATGCCATTAGAGTGTACAGGTTCTGGAGGTGGAGTGTTTAGGTTTGAATCCTGGCTGTGCAAAGTACCAGCTGTGAGTTCCCACTTAGTAACCTACTTGGGTTATTTAACCTCTTTGTGTCTGCTTTCATATCTGTAAAGTGAAAATAATCACAGCACCTACCTCAGAGCTTTGATCTCAGTATAAAAATACTTAACTTAGGTGAAATTCTTAAATATTTTCTGGCATATATTAGGCACTCAAAAATGTCTCCCCCCCCCAAAGTTAAGTAATTTACTGCAGATAAAAAATGACTAATACAAGATTATCCCTGTCTCTCCACTCTCTCTGTTTCTCTGTCTCAAAATTTCTCTCTCTACCTCAGAAGTTTATTATATTTCTCCCAACTTTTACAACACCCAATTGTTGGTAAATTTTATTGTCTCTAATTTACAAATACATCCAGAAACTGATGATTTCTTACCACTTTTATTGCTACAACCCTTGTCCAGGCCACCACCTATATTAATGTGGTAGCATTAACTACTCTCCTATAATAAAATAGTAGCCTCCAAATGAGTCTCCCTTCTGTCCTTGCACCCTGCAGTCTTCCCTCA